TAGATTGTAGAAGCAGGGTTAAAATTGCAGTGGTGGTACAAACAGGCCAGGGTACTGTATCATTTTCCATTGCTTCCATGATAGGAAAAAGCAAATGTGAACTGCTTCTACCAGACGCTACAATCTGCATCTGGGATTGATCTTCCTGCACCTGCCAACTCCAAGGGGAGCCCAGAAAAAGGCAACAAGGAGGAAGGTCTTCTCAGTGCTGGCTTCCCAATTATGCAATACTCTCCCCAGTGAGGCCTGCCTGGCACCAACACTGTTGTCTTTTCAGCATCAAGTTAAAGCCGCTCTCTAACTCCAGGCATTAAATAGCATCTATGGCATGTTATGGGTTATGCCAGCTGTTTAAAGTAGGTTGACTTTTACTGAAATGGGTTTAGATGTATAAACTGTTTTACATTTTTGTATACAGTATTGGAATTTTAAACTTTAAAATTTGTATACTGGAATTTTATTTTGGGTCTTACTGTATCTGCTTTGGTTTGGCTTTTGAGAAATTGTTGCAAACCACCCAGAGGTTTGGGCAGAAATAAATTAATAATAGAAATATAAAATAAAAATAATTAGAAATAAAAATTAGACTAATAATAACTTCTTACAGGGAACACTTCTACTTTCATTCAAAAATTTTTCTCTAATTTGTGCAAATATCTCTTCTCTATCGATCGCCACTGGTTTATCAGTCGTAGTGGGGTCATCCATAGTGGCAGCTATTATAGCTTCAGGCTTGAGAACACTAATGTCACCCTGTGTGCTCTTGAGGCTCCCTGAAGAACACAGTCCGTTAAGTCCAGAAACAGCAGCTGAGAAACAAGGAACAAGAATGTTGATAAATAGCTATTTATTAACAGAAGTATATCAACCGGTTTTAATGCATGCCAACCATAGGCCTCAGTCAGGCTTCTAGCCATGTGCCTTACCTCCTCCTGCTAGAGGTCCTCTCTGAGTTGGACATAAAGCAGGTTTCCCAGTCTGGTGTCCTCCAGATGTTTTTAAGCAGAATTTCCAGCATATCTCTCCACCGGTTATGCTGGACGGGACTGATGGAACTAGAAGGAACTGAATGGTACCAGGCTGGGGAAGGCTGCCTCCAAGTAACAGTATTATCTACAGCAGTAGGAACTTAGATAGTAGAGGGTCAGATCCACCGTATATTATTTCACCTAATAGTTAAAACAGTGTTCAGAAATGCTTCTTAGGCATGATGCAGTAGCAGGATTCAACCTGAATACACATCTCCTTCAGAGATCTTTACAGATCATTTTTGATACATTGAAGAGTCAGGCTTGGAAAAACAGTCTTGGAAAAACATTGCATTTCTGCAAGGAATAAAACCATATGTATATTTTCAAGGTTCTAAGATCGTTTCTTCTTTCCCTCAGGCTATGCTGGATATTCTCCAGTTTGTTTGATCCTGCTACAGCATTTAACCAGCACAAGCTCAGAAGCACAGAACACTGTACAAGAAATCCAGGCGGTCAGGAATGCACATTTTCTTCACATATTATATACTGAGTCAAGTCACAAGTTTGCGACTGAACAGAACTTGCAACATCCCTAAATGCCTCTTAGTAAAAGATACTTCTGAATAATTGTTTTAATATTCTGAGAATCTTTTTGCAGAGGATTTTTTAAAAACCTTTCCACTCACGGTTTCCAAATTTCCCAACAGTGCCTCAGCCTTCTGAGGAAAAAAGAACATTTATTTGACTGACACTGACCATGTAATATGTCTTGGAGGGGAGAGGGGTATGAAGGGAATCATCACCTCCATGGGTCTCCCACCTTCCATTGGATGCCCACAATCCTCCAGGTTTTGTAGGGCTACGTGCAGTAACATGGGTGGGCAGCCTAACCACAAGTACTATGAGACAATTTAAGTCAGCAAAATCATTGATTGCATATTATTCTTCTTTTGGAAATACTGTTTTTCAGCTAAAAGTAGATCTGGTTACAGAACCATGGTTGTTGATCTAACACAATTCTTTGTTTCTACATTTAATGAGAGCACTTCCCTTCACAATCTGTTCCAGCAAGACACATTCTAAAAGTACTGTAAACCTGCGAAAAATCTAATCACCAGTGTGTCCATTATTGGTGCAATAGAAACAGAAATTCACCTGTGATTGCCTCTTCAGGATTTGATGAGCAGGTGTTAGTACATTAGCTCTAGAGGCCAGTAGACACAGACTCTGTTCACATACTTACACACATGCACGCACACACACCAAAACATTCATTTGTCTGTTATTTAAGTTATAATTTTAATCATCATAGGATTAAAAGGAGTTCTGGTGCTCAAATGCAAGTAAGTCCATGCCAACTTTGCTTAAAAAATGTTTCCTAGTCATTTGCATTGTGTGAGTTTCTTGAAATCTGAGGTTGAGTAGTAGGGTCAAAGCAAGGAAGGATAGCTCTATCCTTAAGATAGAGCTTTCCTTAAAAGACTGGAGAGTTTTAGGGCCTTTTCTCATTGAATTCTTGCCTGGGTTTGCTTTTTTCCTTTTCCCTCCAATCTCTTTCCTTTGATGTCATGTATTTTAAACTGTAAGGCTGAAAGCTGGAACTATCTTATCTTTGTAAGCCACTCTGGAAGCCTTTATCTACTAAAGAGCAATACACTGCTCTGGGTGGAACATTGCAGGATATACACAGAAGAAGGTATCACAACCCCAATGTTGTAGTAAGTTAATTCCGGTTCTGCTTTGAAAAGAAGAGTAATGAATTGTTTTGACTATGAGTTGTCCATAACTTACTCTGCTTTAGAAACAGGAAACATGTAGGGCACAAAGAGGAAAATATAGCCAGGGACTTGTAGGGAAAAATAAGGACAAGCATCATAAATAAATTAACAGGACCTGTCATCTGTGTTTTTCTAGGTGTGCAATCAGGCACAAAACATGTAGCTGTAAAACAATATTTGTGCAGGCCAAAAATTCAACTCATGCAAAAATTGTATTAAGTTATCTGTTGTAACAAGTGAGTGATAACAATGTGAAAAGAGAAAAGCCCAGGTTCTTTAAGAATCTCAGATCCTGATCAAGCATAGCTAATCCCCATCCCACCTGGTTGAGGACCACCCTTGCAGGCAGTAGGTGGCAGAACAACTGTGCACCTGACAGGAAAGTGCACAGGTGTGTTGTGCACAGGTGTGTTTGTGCTATGTCTTGGCCCCCTCTCAAAGGAGGCAACAGCCTCCCTCCCCCTGGTTCTGCTTTTGTCTCTTAGGAAAAAAACTGCATGCACAGCTGTAGATCTGCTGTTCAGGCAAGTAACAGCTGAGCCAGTTCTAGCTGTTGGCAGAGCAGTGCATTTACCACTGTGCAGCTGTTCAAATTATAAAAGGGTAGATTTCTGATTTCCTAGAGAAAAAGGGGGCAGCCCTGAGAAGCACCCCTTGCATAAGTCTCTATCAGCCAGCAGTTGCCTGAGAGGACTCTGGGCCTTTAGCTGGCCAGGGGCAACACTCACCCCAGAGACTTTAGGCAGGATTCCCCATGCAGCACTGTAAGGCTTTGGTCTAGAGCTGAGTCACTTCAAAGTGTTTCTCCAGCCTGAGCTACAGGATTGCTGCTCACAGAACAGTCTCGGTCTATGGCATGAATTCCTCCAACCATGTCTGTGCTCCTGAAACATCAGGGTGGCTCTGGAAAGCTGGGCCTGCCTTTCTCTCACCTGAGCTATTATCTTCTCTTGGTGGCAGAGATTGTGATGGCCCAGGGCACCTGGAAAGCCTTGACATTTAAATAACCAGGTATCTTTGTCCCAAAGGTACAGGTGGGATAATAAAGTTCAGCTTAGATGCTCTGTCAGCCAGCACTGAGGCAGCTTTGTCTGAACTTGCTATTAGCTTCCATGGGGTTGCATTCACACCTTTAAAATGAATATGGTACCATGCTAAATACACTGTTCTACTCCCTGTTTTGTGCAACGGGGCCTGAGACCTTATCTGGGTTATGGCAAACTTCAATTGTCATTGCAAAAGGGGGACTTCAAATTTCCAAATCTATAGCCATTCTACACAGTCCTTTTAGTTCAGATGAACTTAGATATTTAGCCAGACTTCAGGCAGAATTGGATGGGTGGGCCTGAGGAATGAATATTTACAGCAGCTCAGGGGAAGTCCGAATTAGCCATAATTGAGTCTGTATTGTGCCTTGACCAAAAACAAACAAACAAATAAATAATTGGTTACTTTGGCTATACCAGATAGCTGATAACTACTGGAGAAGTGGCTTTTCCATTGGGAATTCGTGCAGTTTGCCTGATGTGGTCCTGCCCAGCAGCGGCCCTTTCTGGGCTTTGCAGGAGGATAAACGTGAATTTTAATACCTCCTACAGATTTCAGGGCACTGGCTAGATCCATACACATAACTAAGCCAAAAAGAGCCTTTATGACTGCTATGAGTGCGGTCCACATTCACTTGATGAAACAGCAAGCGCCAACCAAACAGAAGAATCAGTCTAACAAAGTATAACACAAGCAGTCGCCCATTGATTGCCAGAACCAAGGCCAGGAGAATGCAGAATGCAATGGCCTATGAGCTCTCCTTGGAGCTACACTAGGTGCACCCCTGGCCTGGAGCTGTGTCCGTTCAAAGTGTTTCTCCAGCCTCAGCAAGGCAGGGAGGGGATCTCACATGGGTGAATTTTAGCTAGAATCAAAAGCACTTTGTATTGTACATGTTAGGAGACACACACATCCACATGCTATCTTTTCCCTTTCTGAGTCGAAATTAAAATGAATAATGAAATAAATATTATTTTATTTTTAACCTACCTGGCAGGTATCCACTCCGAGTTGAGATACTGTTTCGGATGCGTCTGATTACAGAGTTCCCAGCCCAAATACTGAGCTCAAAGTGCTTGGATTGCACATTTCCGTTTAGTCAGAGGCCACATGAGGGAAAGTTCTCCTTTGGGGTTTCACAGCTGTGCACTGAAGAAATCACGTTCTGGCTAAAGGTGGTGTTTGTAAAACAAATAATTTGTTTCTGGAATGACTCACACTTTAGGTAAAGCAAAATAATGAAGGAGGAAGCTTCCTAAACTCGTTCGTAGATAGACCAATCTGACATTAGGAGGAGGAGTGAGACAATTTCTGGCAAATGTCCCCAAGCTGTTATAAAACTGAAAACTGTCTCGCTGCCTCCCACTTAGCTGAGCATGCAATATTAGGAATGCAGCTGAAGAGATGCTGGCTTCCCTTCCCATTTCTGCTAGGTGTAAATGGCTTATAGAGGAGTTTTATACATTCTGTTACTTCTCTGAGAAATGTAAACGAAGAGAGATGGATGGGCCTTGGAATCTTTTTAATTCATCTTTGATCTTCCACGGTTGCTCCTGTTGTAATAAATAGAAGTTGTTTCTACGGCTTTTTAATTAATGTAATGGGTTCATTTTATACTGCAAAGTGTCATTTGAGTGACTGTTGGTATGATAGAGTTTCATTGCTCAGAAATGGTGAAACTGATGCTTTAGTTGGGCATTTTGTTGGTCAAAGAATCCCACTTAGGAACTGATGGAACAAAAGGTGTGCAAAAGGGACCTTGTTGAGGGATAAAATGCAAATAAGGAAGAAGTTTCGAGAGATGACATTTTTAACATTTGCTTGCATTAAGAACGGCCACTCTGATACGTCAAATAAGTGTTGGAAATGTGCACAGAAACCTGGTACCTTTTATCATATGTGGTGGACTTGTGATAAAGCAAAAAAATATTGGGTTAAAATACACAGATGGCTTGGGGAAATGTTGCAAAGATCTGTAATGTTTAACCCAGAAATATTTCTGTGAGGCATTCTCCCCAGTGATCTGGATAAAGTATATACTTGACTTTGCATGTAATAACAGTGGCAAGGATCGCATATGCGCAATGTTGGAGAAATGAAGAGCTACCGGCTGAAGATTTGATCTTGAACAAGATATTAGACTGTGCAGAAATGAATAGACTGACTTTATCTCTTAAGGAAAAGGAAGATACAGTTTACTACCAAACATGGGACTTTTTCTATCAATGGCTACAGAATCAGAACTCTAATTTGGGCTGAAATACATAACATTGGTAGAGAGAAATAAGACTTTGTACTCAGTATGTTTGAAGTCTTTGAAATAATTATTTGTTTAGTGAGTAGAAATCAATAAAACTTTGAAACCCAAAAGAAGGGCTACTCCTTATTTTAGAAATAAGGATGAAATATGTGGGGAGAAACTGAACAGCGAATGGAAAACCATTTCAAATGGTGTGAGGCCTAGCTGCAAAAGCAACTGTACTTGATGGCCTTGATATTTAGGGATTTTGTACAGCATGGCAGCATTCGCTTTCCATATCCACATTGCCCGAAATAGAGCAGGTGGCCTGCAAACTATGTCAGTTTGTGCCAGTACTTTTCCAGTTCTGGTGCAAACCTTTAAAGGCCTAGATGGCTTAGGGCCGAAAGAAACCCCGTCTCCCATAAATTATCCAGACATCGACAGTTGTCTGAGCCCTTCTCCAAGAGTGCCTGCCAAATGAAGTAAGGTGGGTTGCTACAAGTGAGAAGGACTTTTCAGTGACGGCACCATAATTGCTGAATTGCTTCCCAGGCAGCCTATCTTGGCATTTGTCTTAGGCCTTGCTGGTGTCAGGGAACGGTCTTTTATTCCCTTAGGCATTTTAAGAATTGTTTTCAGTGCTTTTAGTATTTCATTCTGCTGCTCTTTTTAATTTGGTTTTATGAAGTTGCTATGGCTTTATTCATTGTTGCTGATTTTATGTTGGTTCTATGGCACTGTTTTTAATTGTTTTAATGGACAGAGCCCAAAGAACGTCAATTAGAAGGCAGTTTAAAAATACAGTGCATGAATGGATGTTGATTCACTGATACCAGAGAGCAAAAATGAGTCTAGAGATCTGACTAGATTTGCTTCAGCCAGTCCAGGAACAGCTTACACCCAATAATGCAAGATTATGGGTGCACTGGAAAACTTATTTCAGATTGCTTAATGGTTTCCAGTCCACACAGACTTAATGTTGATTATTGACAACTAGCCTATATAAATTTGATAAAACAGATATCAAGACCATAACACTAGAAAGGCTGTGAGCAGTATCCACAGTGGTGGCCCTTTATTCTCATAGAACTGGTTATGCACAACAGGTTTCACAATGGGTTGCACAAGTATAAAGCACAAGCACCTGCACACTTATGCTTGTGTGCAGATAACTCCTGCTCATGGTTCGGAACCAAGTTTCTTGCAGGTACACAGCTGAGCTGCATTATACTTTTGTGTCTGTTCAACGTTGTCTGGAAGATTATAGGGTTCTTTGGAGAACTCTAGGTCATGTGGTCCTGTGCCCACCCCCTTGTGGCTGGCACAAAGAAACCACTCAAGCTTTGCCCCCCATCCCACCTTGAGGCTCAGAGGGAGACAGAGGTGGAATGCCAGGGCTGCAGGTTGACAGCAATTTCAGTCAGTGTTCCAGGTTCCTTTCTTCCATCCTCCAGCACTAAATCTAGATGACTGAAAACAGTCATCAAGAGAAAATTCCCAGCATGAGGCATGATGGCAGCAGCAATCGTCACAATCTTGTCTCATTCTGGACATAGGTTGTATATAGGCCTCCAAGTTTGGAAGCTTATGTGTACCAAGGATGCAGGATATAGAATGGTGCTCTGCATGTAAATTGCACAGATAAATATTATGCCAATCTATGCCCTCCTTTGTCTTTTTATAGAATGCTTATCCACTTTTCAAGTGAATGCTTATCCACTACTGAGCTATTGCTCAGTAGCAGGGAAAATTCTACTTCTTGTGGAGTAAACTGGAATAAGAGTGGTCATGCTGCTACACCTCAATCAATTTAAGTTAGTGGATTTCAACAGATGCAACCCTGGCTGTGCCTGAGTAGACAAGATACTTGCCATCAACTTTTTGAAGAAAGCCAAGTCTGTCCCTAACTGAACTTAGGGAAAAAGAGGAACCATTTAGGGGAAAGTCTGAAAATTTGCTTTTGCAAATGATTTTTTCCTTTACTGAAGAAACCTATCTTCCAGTAAGTCTTTTGGAGAAGTAAATGTTCCCTCATCACTTCTTCTGTGTTCACTCTCTGCAGGGTCCTTTGATTTCAGGTTCCATTGCTTTAATCAAATAAGAAGCTTGAGGCAGTGGTTGAAAATAACAGAACACCTGAGAATCTGAACAAAATAATGTGCAAAACCAAATCCCAGTATGGGCAGCAATTCCTCTTAACCGAACATTTGCCAGAACGACATGTCACTGAGAAAGTGAGCCAGTGCAAGCGGAGAGGGCTTGAACACTGTGATAAGAAGACATGACTTTCAGTCTAAGTCTATGCAATCCAAAGTTCAACCATATTGCATAGAATGGCTCCATGAATGAGACTTCCCTTTGCCTGTCTTTTTTATAAAGTCCAGGGCTAGAGAGATGCTCTATTTGCAAGTTATTTTCAAGATGAGCTATGGAAATTTCTGCCCATAGCTCTTGGGATGTCTGTGCTTAGTTGCTTCGGATCCAATCGGACAATTACTTTTGAACATGGGAAGACTGATGAGCCTGTACCCTGTACACCCAATACCTACTTGCTGGACTTACTCACTGATTTTAACAGGACAAATAATAGCCCCCTCTCCCATCATGGAACGAGTGCCACACTGAGGCCTACCTGGCACCAACCTTACTATCTTTTCGTTGCTAGATTAAGACTGTCCTCTAGCACAGGGCAGTTAACTGCTTTACTGGGTCTTTGTTAGAGCTGTGTGTACATACGTGTTTCATGGAAGGTAAACAGAATCCTTTGTTGTATTTGTTTAGAGTAATCCTTTATTTGGCTGTGCACTAGTTGCAATGTACCTAGTTGGTAGGCAATGTCCAGCACCAAGAGTATCGCCATCTTGCTTCCTCCATGAATTGCTTCCTGCCTTCACTATCATCATCATCCAGTTCCTTTTTTAAAACATGCAACTCATTTATCACTTCACTTTCAGGCATGGCAGCTTTCCCCTGTCCATCACCCTCCTTCTCATCTCATGTCTTGGACTGTAGTGCCCAAATGCAGAGACAAGGCAGGCTCGTTAGCTTCTGTATAATAAGTGGCCCGTTCCTTTTAGAATCATTTCAGCAAGCACACTCAAGTCATGCTCCACAGTATCCCATTCATTGCACTGGGGAGGGGAAGAGGCTGAATCCAAAGTCCTCTAATTTCCAAAACCTCACAGCACACTATGCAGAAAAGTTCTCATGGGTAGTTCCCTTCTTCATAGGAATTGGGCAGGGAACTGCTGCATTGATGTCTGCAGAGAAAAAGTGCATCAAAATAAAAGAATAGCTGCTGTTGTTTTCTAAGGTGTAAACCTGGCTTAGTATTTCCCATTGGGATCTAAGCACCAGATTTTGGCTCTTTCTCAGCATAGAGTTTTCTGTCCGCAGCTCATAGCTCTTAATTTACATGGGTGCTCAAAGGTGTAACTCCATTGCTGACCTGCAAAGGTCTATCTGTTTGTTTCAAAGGAAGGGATGGCTTTAGTGCGTGAAAGCAGTGCAGAGCTTTGAGAAGCCTCACAGAAGAGCTGGGCCATGCACAGTGTTGGATGTAGTTTGCAACTCCTGACTCGGACAAAGTCCCATGTCTATCTTAGCTCACTTATAGACCCAACTTACATGTACTCCAGTCTGACAAAATCACTGTGCTATGAAGAGCACCAGGTGAACAACAAATGCAAATTGGCCTCTCAACTGAAGAAAACAAATTCTCTTCAGGCCATTTTTTATATACTTTCATGTAGGTGGAGCAAAACAGCCTCCCCTCTCAGTAAACAGAGAGCATAATCTAATTACTTAACTTGTGGATGATTGTGGACAGATTTATTTATAGGTCTCTTCCAAAATATAACCAAGACCCCAGCCTTCTGCTGTTCCACTAACAGTGAATGCACAGCGATTGAGAAGCAACAGAGTTTGTTGGGCTTCTATCCATGCGTGTGCATATAGGACTGCTGCATAATCTAAGAGTGCATTTTCCCTTTAATAATCTCAGCACAGAGAAAGGTTCATTTTGCCACCGTTTATGTAAGGTTAACTTGCAGTCCAGTGATTTGGCAAGGCTCTGCAGTGACCTTCATGGCTGAGTGCTGCTGGCTCATTCACAACCAAGGAGCACCACAGTCCCTCGTGCTCAGCTAAAATGACAATTTCCCATGGCCCTGAACTCACTGTGTCCTGTCGCCCTGCTGGAGTTCATTCAGGACTGTGGCCATGCGCATGAGCTTTTAATGTGAGTGTGAGACTATTTCAGTCACTTTGATTTGGGAAAGCAGTTTTAACATCATGGGAAGCAGTAAACAGATCCTTTTTCTGACTCTTCCTTCTGAATTCTTGGAATATCTGAACCATGAATGTGCAGTCCACAACTACTGCCTGCTTTTTGGCAATCAGTGAGAACCATGTACAGAAATCAAAAGTGTGCCATAGATAGATCTGTAGGGGATTTTTTAGGTCTGCTAAAAAATTATTACTTTGCATGTAGATAATTCTTCAACATGCTCAAAGCACTTCATGTCTATCAGTTCAACCTTTGCAACAGCCTGTAAGTTAGTCCCACATTCTAATTGTCACAATGTAGGAAGAGGCCAAATTGGTTTATGGCTATGAGTCGATTTGAACTGGAAACAACCTAACTCACAGCTCTCAGTACTCACAGCTTTGCAGTGCACTGGTACACACAGCAGAAGCGCTTAACTTTAAATCAAGCAGTTTACAAATGTTACATGGTATCTGTGTGCAGAGAAGCTTGTGGAATTGCTTTCCTCTGAATTTTCAAGAAAGGGGTAAGTAAACAGCTGTGTCTGTGGCTTCAGAATAGTATTCTCATACTATGGTAGGAATAAGATCTGATATTTCATTAAAATCTCTTCTAGGCTGCCTGAATGCAAGGGGAGATGTCTAGCAAAGGCCTCTGCATGTTGAGCTGCACTCATCCAATAATTTGAACTGGGGGCTTTTTAACTTTCCAGAATTCCCTCCACTATCTGTGTGACTTGCACTGTTTTGCATTTCATTCCCCAGCTTAGATCCCAAGATGCATGTTTACCAAAGAAGCCGGCCCTCAGAAATGAACAGGCACACAACCACTGGGTCTTTCAGCTAGTTTCTTTAATAAGGTAATAAGGAGACGCATATTGTTACAAAATAACCATTGAACAACAAAGACACAAACGGAGGCCACATGAGGGCAGGGATAGGGACATTAAAAGCAACTTCCTGCAAGGTGAGGGGTGGCAGAGCTGGAGACCAGCCCTGCAGAGCTCTGGGCTGCAACAGAAGTGAGGAAGATGCAGTGGGCCAGGACTTGAGAGCAAACTTGGGTAGGGAGTTTGTGAGTGACAGACATGAGACAGAGGGGCAAAGGTTGCTGAGACCTACCCTGCCCCAATTAACCGATCTCTGAAGCCTTATGCTGGCCTCTTGCAGTTTAGCTGGTCGGCACCACCTTGGCCACAAGGCGCTGTGGTTATGAGATCATCAACTAGGTGCAGCTGTCGGCACCTCAGGCTCCTGCTGCAGGCCAAGCTGATGGTTAGCATCTGCTCTTCATCCTATTCTGCACTGCACACCTGCATGTGCGCATCGTTGTCATTGACCTCATATCCAAATCTGTGCTCCACCTCCAAAGCTCCGGCTACCTGTCATCTTTCCTGATGCCTTGGCTGCCCTGATTATAAAATGCAGGGGACAACTGAGGCGAAGCCCACTTCAACTTGTGCTTTTTAGCTGCGCTCCTCCAGAACACATTTCCCCTGGATTGGTGCCTTGTGCTCCTTTGCTCCTGTTGTCATCACTACTCACTTCTCATGAGCATCAGTGGCCAAAGTTCAGATGGGTCAGTGATTCCTGACAGCAGTGCATGCTAAACTGAGCGAGCTGATCCTACAAATGCCACAAGAAGCTGAAGGCACCAAGGAACATTAATAGTGGCTCTATAGACTCTTTTTAAGCAGACTGCAGGTCTCAGCTTCCACTTGTAGTACTAGACATAGGAGGCTAGCCTCTCTTTTTTCCAATGTCCGTGTTTGGATAGCAGCACCCTGCCTGTGAATGCAAGGGGAGAACTGGAGCTTTGGGCATATGGGATTCCTTACCACAAGAAGTCCCAATGCATGAAGGGTCATGCACACATCTGGGCTCCTTGGGACCTACAGTTGACCATGTGGATGGCCAGAATTTGTGCCGGAAGGGCACACTGAAGATATAGGTGGGGTGGCATCTTCAGATGGGTCAAATACAAGCTCTTTTCCCCTCATATGGACAGTGAATGTATGGGTGGGGGAGCACTGAGCCCGTGAAGCCTTCCCTGAAAAGGGCCTATGTTTGGCCTCCCCCTTTGAGCACAACTCCCTCCTTCCCAGGAAACTGAGCTATGAATCCTCTCACTCTCCAACAACTTTCCCAAGACAAACAAGACCTTTTCCAATGTAGGGTCCTCTAGATATGAAGGCTTACTGCTCCCAGCCAGCATGGACAATGACCAGCTGGGGATTATGGGAGTTGCAGGCATCACATCTGGAAAGCATCAGGTTGGAGAAGGCTTTTGCAGGCAAGACCGGCTTCCTCCTTCACTAGTTCCTACTTCACCACTGAAGGATATTTATTTCTTCTCAGCTAAACTGCTCCTCAGAGTAGCCTTCTGAAAACAAGTGCTAAAAGCGCGAACTCTCATCCCTCCTGTTCACCCATCTAGTGCCTCCTATTCCTCCCATCAACCCCATGACAACACACCCTAAACCATTGCTCAGTGTAAATCTGCCAGACGGTTGTGCTGGAGAGCAGCCACCCATCCTACTGAGCACATGGGCACAGAATGCACGCAACCTGCCGTGGCTGTGAAATGCATGTGCATTTTACTCTTTATCTGGTCCTTAAAAATACACAGAGGAGATTACCAGGAAGGGCCATGTCTGTGTGCTTTGCAGAAAAGAGCAGTCAGTCACACAGGCATGCATGTATTTTGCACATGGCCGCCACGCATCAGATGGAACAGACACTGCCATCGCTGCTGCTGCTGTTTGCCAGATGGCATCCTTTCTTGTGCAGACAGGGCCAGGCAGGTCTCGGGTATACTATCAAGAGTCCAGGTGGGGTACCCCTCCCAGCTGATCCCTACAGACTTCCAGGTAATATTTACATGGCAGGGGCAGCAGCTCAACTTAGAAAACCATCTGCCATTTACATTTCCCACAATGTCTTGAAACAAGGCTCTGTTGGGCACTCCAGGGCATTGCTGGAAATTTAAAAGGGGGGCTAGTTTCCCTGACTTGCCTCGATGGCATCAGATAAGCTCATGGCAAAGCGCAGGGGGGCCACAAGAGACATCAGCATCGGCAGGAACGGCCTGGGTGCTCTGGCCCAAACATCTGCCTCAGGTGCCAGAGGCTCATGCTTGCTCAAGAAAAGTCTTCAGGGCAATGCCATTTGCAGCCAGACCTGAGAGGGCTCCAAAGGCTCTCCAGTCAGAGGACAACCCAGCATAAGGCATCAGGTACAAACCAGCTCTGTTACCCACAAATGCCCCCAGGAAGAACAAAAGACACGGACAGCAGGAGAGACAAAGACAAGAGGCGGGAAGACATCAGCAAGGGAGAGGAGAGAGAGACTGAGGATCACCTGTCAGCCAATCCCAGTTTCAGGATCCGGGCAGCCTGTGATCTAATATGGCTTCTAAATTTGCTTCAACAGTTAAATGCTTCAACACGACACGGAACATTGAAGCTGCAATGTTGTTGCTACTTGGAGGTGGTAAAAATCCAGCAAGTTACAGTTCTGCAAATATAGATTACAAGACATTGATGACATTCACTGCCATATTGTTGGAATTGTATCCGCCCTTGCCCCCCCCTTCAATGAATATTTTTAATGAATTAGTCATGCTTTGTTGCCTTTTTATTTAAAAAATTATTACTTTGTTATTTAAAATAATCTTACAACCACTCTCTCTCTCTCTCTCTCTCTCTCATTTTTTTTACATTGCCCTCCCCCCACCCTTTCTCATTAGGTAAAATAAGTTCATTCACACCACATTTTAAAAATAACTCTGTAGCCTGACTGTATTCTAGAAAATGGGGTAATGACACACATGGTAGTATGAATTCTGATTTTTGGGTTTTTCTGCATGCTGCTACTTACATACTGGCTAGTCATCATGCATTGTATACATGAAGGTTTTATTTATATTAACAGATTTCTATATCATTTTATATATAAGTACACATGAATGATGGGATTTGGATGAGGCTCAGATGGCTTGAGTTGTTTCACTTTTTCTCCCCCTTTATAGAAAAAGAAACCAAACCAAAATACATTAATACGGTGTACTAAAGTTTTAGCTCCCATTTTAAGTGGTACAAGTTGGAGACACCATTTCATAGAGGAACGTGTATTCTGACTTGATTCTTCTACATCATTGGTTTCAAAGAGGGTACCCTGGGTAGTTAGCATCAGGAACAGGAACAGAATCAGGTTTGTGTGGTGATGCTGCTGTTTTGCAGTGTGGTCTATTAAAAATGCTAGATTCCCAAATACATTTGTTCCAACCCAGGTGGAGTCCTCCATGCGTATCAGCAGCCTTCCACCCAGCACTGGCACAGAAACAGATGCCCATCGGCATAGCAATGCACACTTGACCAGATGCCTCTTTGGATGTTCACTGGGACCTGTACCCACATCTAGAATTGCCAGCTGCTACATGTGACTACTGGTAGATCAGAACTGCTACCTGCAGGATTTCTTTCTGTCTTATTCCCACCAGTCCTACAGATCTCATCTTAGAGCCAAATATGAAACAACAACATGAGCAGGAACAGTAACTCAAGGTCTGTACCATTATCATTAGATTGGGGATTTTGGATTAAATGAATGTTTGTCATCTAGGATTTGTTGTTTTAGTGTGTTTAAGAGGTTGTTAAGCACATTGTTTTTAATTACAAATTTTCAATCCAAGGAGTGAAGTCTGTAAACTTTAAGAAGGGTTTCAATTCAGATCACATCACACAAACTAATTAGTCTTGCAGTCTTCAAAGGCAACTAAGAATTGCACCATCATCATCATCGATAATGATGATGATAACAATAACTACCATTATTATTTAAGGTGCCGTAGAACATCTTGCTTTTGCAACAAGGGACTAACATGGCTATCCCTCTGGAAACAGTTACAAATGTGAACGTTCTTACAGCTGAGAACCAAGTATTCCACCCAAATAGCAGTGGAACTAAGACAGAATTGATTCTAGGTTCTATAGATGCTGACAAACAACCATGAAACCAGAATGGTTTGTAGGCAGAGGGGCAGAAGAAGGATAATTTGTGAATATGAAATCAGTACTATGAGTTCACCACAGAGAAGAAATCAACCTGTCAGTCTTCATCCAAATTATGGATGCCCTCAAAGACTAGAGTCGGACACACAGAGACAGAAAAACAAACAAGTGCAAATGCACCTTCACCCATGCATTCAAGTGCTCTTCATTCTCTTAGAAAATGAGATTTGTTAAGAACCATATGAGAACCTCTTCGGGTCAAAGAGTTCACAATTCCACAATGCCGTCAGACAGGGGATAGCCTGGTGCAGGACTTCTTTTTATCTTTTTTCCTTGTGGAAAGAAATGCCTATGAATTCCCACTCTGCCTTTCGAATTCCCTGGCACCATAGCAATGATGGTCTGATGTCATGTGATTGGGGATGGTGCCAGGTCTAGCTTTAAAATAACCACATGCAGAGATCCAGAACTCCCCAAGGACACTCTTCTGTAATTACGGCTGTAATCTTATATTCTTGCCAGTGGCAGCATTAAAAGCTAAAAGAGGCACAATCAAGGAATTGGGAATAAATTTTATGTACCCTTAAGTGGGGGCATAAAGAAGAAACCAGCACCAAAGCTTTCTTTATAGAGATGTTGCAGTGAATGCAATTTCTTGATTAAGCACAAACATGACTGCCAATGCCCCTGCCGGCTGGATTAAGAAATCAGTCAGTGTCTCTAGGGCTCTAAGACTCCCTCATGGGTTTAGGGCCACATAGGTCACCATCCATGTGCAGCATGCATAGGATTGCAGTTGTGGCTGTTTAGATTTGGTTAATCAAGGAAGGGAACTTTCCAGAACATGTAGAAGGTCTTCAAGAGTCCCTTCCCTTCTTTTTAGAAATTTTGTTTTACCCTCTGAAATGTATTTTAGCAATGGGCAATAGTTGTCTCTCTCTGGTTCTGCAATGAGTTAAGGGAAGGCGGAAATAAGAACAGGATCTGAGCCAAATCCGGGGCAGCATTAGCATGGAGCAGCACACTGAACAACTAGGACACTGCTGGCAGGATTCTGTACGTGACTGATCCTTTCTCTACTTGCCATGGCCTGTTCAGCCAGAAACAATCGATTTCTGCAGCCTACAGTTTAGACTGTGCCGCAGCTCTTCCTGAACGGGAAAAAATGTCAATATAGAAAAGTAGCCTCAAGAAAGATGATACTACAAAGCAGGATTTTTGTCTGGTTCGGAGGAGAGGTATGCGGTGGCATTCAATCATCTGCAGTCCTAACAGTACAGCCCCAAACACAGGGCTGCCATATTTCAAGGGGAATAGCTTCAGAGTTTCCTTACTTCCACCCTAGCTGGGTGAAAAAGGAACAGTTCTTTGAAAACACAGTCCTGCTCCATAAATGGGCAGCATGCCATGCGGAGCCTTGAGCAGTAGCCAAGCTGTTCTTTCAAAGCAGATTTTTTTCAGGGGGCAAAAGGCTAGTTCAAAATCCCAGCAGCTGACACTCTTTTAAAGTAACTCTTCGCACAAAAGCTTTCTGATTTTGGCCAGAATGTGAATCGAGGTGTTATCACCAGAAAGGCTGATGGCCAGGGCGGCTTATTTTATATTGTATTTTTGTATTTTTAATTTAATGTTTATATTTATTGTAATTTATATTATAATTACTTTTAATTTATTGTTGTAAGCCGCCCCGAGGCTTCAGCAAATGGGGCGGCATAAAAATGTTTTAATAAATAATAAATAATAAATAAACACAACGTTGAATTTGCACAGCATATCTAGTTGCTTTCCCTGTCTTTCTGTTTAAATGTATGTCTCACCTAATTCTGTTCCAACAAACATGAGAATACAGGCACTCATTTGGCTGTGCTGCCAAAATATAAAAATGGTCAGGGAATGCATGATTTACCTAGATCAGGTCCAAGCCAAGCCAGCAAAACAGGTTCCAGCCAAAATCTCCCTTGGCCAAAGAGGGATTATACCTGCCCCCTTCAGCACAATGGTTTGTCTGTTTGTCTGCCCCAAATCTGCACCTTGTGTATGCCACAAGCTCACCCATCTCATGGCTGGAACTAGTTTCTCTCTCCCTCCCTCCCTCCATCCCATTTTATTCTATTTTATTTTATGTATTTTGCAGGTCCAGGTACCCCCTGGAGGATTTCTGTGCCCTTGATCCCTGCCAGACTAAACCAAGGCAATGACAGCGGAAGGCTGCTGACATGCTGTGAAGCTGCTCTAGCTCTGTCTGAACCTTTGGCAGTCTCCACCCCCAGCCTGTTAGCCATAATTCCCAACTGCATCCGCACAAAATGCAGAAGCAGCAAAGCAGTCCCTATCTGGAAACCATGGCTTGGAAGAAAAGCAAATTTACCTCTTCTTGCTTTAAATCATGAATTTGAATTGGGGAGATGGTCCATCAAGAAAACAGAAACTGAAGGATGGTGCTAGCACGTGTATCCTTCCCCCACCCACTGTACTTGCCTCCTTCCATGAGTAACAATCTGAACAGGGAGCCAAGTGGTCCAAGGTACTGATAACTGACCCAGTGTGTATAACAGAGAGGCCCTTCAATGATTACTGCAAATGCTAGTAGCAAATATGGCTTATCCCTTTGGGATCAGCAAAGAAACCATACATGATTTGGCAGCCAGACAGAGCAGGAGAAATGGCTGCTTTGGATGTATCTTTGGTCCTTTTGTTGGAATGGATTCATTCTCCCTCTAACCTCTTGCACTAGGCTCCCTCTTAGTTAAGTGTGACATTGGGGGGAAGGAGAAGCCCCCAACTGAACATTTTAGTTCCCTTTGAATTCTCCAGCTCTGCTAACTAGCTGCTCAGTCTGTGGTCTGCTGGGCAAGCTGGCCTGTTCTTTCTTCACTGTCCTCTCATCCAATAGATTCTGCCCCTCAAAGCATTAAAAAAGATGTGAGTCTCAGCTTCAGTCAGCTTCTCCCACACACCTTCAATTCCAAATACAATAAAAATTAGACCTTCCCACTAGAAACTTCTAGCTAACCATGGTTTAGGTTGTTGTGTCATCAAAAGAAAGATGCCAGAGCAAAGCATGATGGGAAGTATATGCAAATCAACCCAGGGCTACTGGGTTTTGTTTCAGGATTGCAAAGCTACATGAAGGTTCTTGTTGCAGCTTTTCATGACATATCCAGCTTGTCACTTAGCAAGAATCCAATCCACTCAAAAGGGTGAGCCTTCCAATGTCCACACGAATAGTCAGCCTGCTATGCTTGGTTATTTGCACAAATATCCCATGATACTGTTCTTCAGAAATAAATACTTAGTGTTCTGTTCTGCATTTGGACAGAAGAGTGGAAGCATTTACATGCAGTCACCTTTCCTCCCAACTTTCTTACCACTCCACTGTTCTAATGGAGAATGGAAAACTACTAGAGTACAGAAGTCCTACTGTATTACTTAGTCATTACAGAGATATTGGACAATTGGCAGTGGGCAAACTGTATGCCCAGAACTGCACTCCCCTCCCTGCCCTCTGTTAGATGGCTAATGGCCAAAGGCCACCAAGCCCAAAGTGTGATGATGCTCACATGGTTCACAAGAGCACCATTTCATGCACTTTTCTAGTTTCCAAAGCAAGCACAGTGTATCTGGTCAACTCACATTGTCAGGCTCTGATATGATCCTCATACAATATTCAAAGGTCCAATTTTAAGGAAGAAAATCTCAAAGTGAGTAAAAGCAAAGCTATTTGTGCTAATATTCATGGTGGTCTCAGGGAAACCCAAGGAAGAAGTTTGCTTTGCCTTTGAAGAGAACAACATGTAAAGATGATGGGACATGCAGCAGACAAACTACTCTGAAGAATGTGAAAGGAGCAACTGTGTCTTTGAATTTCCCCCACTGGATGCTCTTGAGTTCATCCAGAATCTCTCTACAGCCACCAAAGGAAGGGTATTGCAGCTTAGAAAACTGAACAGAACATAAACCAAATGTTGCCTAACTGAGGTATTGATAGCTCTGGATCACTTGAATGTTCAGTAGGTGATGCTGGGATATGGAGCTGCCTATTTATTTTTCCCGAGAGCTGCGTCCACCTCTTCTTCAGGCTTCAAGGAATGCCACTGGGCAATGGGGCGACGTGGGTTAGCCAACATGTCAGACCAGTGCCTAAGCTCCGTGCCGGTAGCATTGTTACCAACAAATATTTTTCCAATGGCTTCATTCTTTCCCAGCTTGTCATAATCCAGCACGGTAATCACAACTTGCACTTTCTGGAAAAGAAACAAGAAGAGAGAAAGAGATTGATGACGACGATGATGGATGATGATTTTGTTGCAATGCCCACCATGACCTATTGTAGAAAAGTGGGTGTCCACTTGATTTTTATGAATGTTCTTAGATAGCTTTATGTTTATCTATTCCAGTGCTGTTCATCATTTTGTGTACTTTCTTATTCTTTTAAATATTTATTCTTTTAAATTATTTGTATTGTACTTTTTTCTTTTAACTGCTCATTTTCTGCTCAGAGAATGTTTGCTATTGGGAAGATTAAAAATATAATAAAGAATTAAATAAATACATTGTTAAATCTACGTAGAAAAATCAGTTCTTTTCTCTTTTATATTCTGACCATTCTGACTTATTTTGGATTTGAATATATTGCTGTTGCAAAAGGAAGACTATGTTAGTTCCTTGCTCATGCATCGAGCAAGGAACTAACATAGTCTTGCACTGGGATTATTTTAGGATCAAAGGACAAACAACAGAGGGTAATTTGGGGAAAATATATTGGCTGAAAATCTATTTCATGTACCTAACCAGAAAAACCCTGACAAGGTAATACACTTCATTTAGAGAGAGGCTGTGTTCACACAAGACTCATTTACAAGCATGTGAACACAGGGATGGTGTGTGATGACAAGGACAGCAATGTTTACATCAATTAACTGATTAGATTAATCAGTTTTAGAAATTTGTAATCAACTAAAATGTACCGCAATTAATTGAGCAACATTTAAACATGCATTCTTATTAATAGTAATGACAAAACTAGCACATTGCTAAATTTTCAGTCTATTTATTTCAGACCATTTGCTTGAGCAAGGCATTATTAAAAGTCCTAACAGCAACAAGGATGCCTTGCTGAGTTTTCAGGGATTCAGCAAACAGCGCTGGAAAGCCCCAAGGGTGGAATTCCTGGCTGAAACCTCTAGGGAATTGTCTAAGAAGCTCAAGCAGCTGAAGAGGCTGCAAGGACAGAACAGGGATAAAAATGGTAAAATAAAGAGCACATACAAGCTCCTCACCAACTCCTACAGTAAAGTGAGCACTGAAGATTTGTACCCTGAAAATTTCCCCCCAAATTCTCAATATCCCAGTGAAAGAGGCAGAATAATAGCTGCCTCTTTCTCAGGGGAACTAAGAGGCTGCTAAAGAGCATTAAGGGATTTGGCATGGCACTAATAAACATGCTCACATAGGAAAGCAAAACCTCTGTGATGTTTATGCCACACAAATATGCAACATCTGAAACAGACTTCCTCAACTTGGTGCCATCTAGATTTGTTTGACTGCAATTCCTATCATTCATGGCGGATTTGGGGAAGGCTGCTCTAAGCTGGTGCCTTCTGCCATTCATGTGCACATGATCTAAAAACAAAAAAAGGGTCCTTCTTGCTTCTGAGCTATTGTTAACGATGCAGGCTCTTATCATGCCCCTCTTCTGTGCAGCTTTCCTAGGACTCCCCTTCCTCAAGGGACGATTGGTCTAGCAGGCTTGGTCTCATGAGAAAATGCATAGGAGGGGGTACAATCCTATGCATGTTTAGATAAAAAAGGCTTCTAACTCCCAGCTGTCAGTTGTAGAACGTTTTTCCCTGCCTACACAGGTAGAATTACACCCTTAATTATGTAGATCAACTCTTCCACCATGTTTACTTTCCACACATTTCACCTCCTTTTGAACCCCTTTGGACCATTCCACTGCTAAACTTGAACGGTCAGCAGCAGAGAAGAAACTAGGTCATTACAAACCAACCAGAGATTTCTCTCTTGTGCTTGGAGAATAAAATGCATGCGGCCGATGCAAAGTCCCATGACCCAGGCAAGGTGGCAGAGTTCGCCACTGATGAGCAATGTGACTTGGGAACACTTTGCATCTACCTCTTCCCTTCACCCCACTAAATTTCCCCAAGTGAGCAGCATGCAAACCTGTATCTGTTCAAAGGGAATCTCAAAGCTGAACGATTCGTTGAAGTAGGGATTCAGGGTCTTCTTCTTGACAGTGGTCTTCTTCTTCTTGAGCCTCTTGCCATTCTGTAGCAGGTGAATTTTCACATAGGGATCTGGAATATAAGATCAAGTACTTCTGATTTGCAGGCAGCAATGCACATTTGAAGACAAGACTATAGGAAAGAGAAAGCTCAAGACAGAATAGCTGGGAATTAAGTATGTTGTACAGATGGAAAGAATGGTCAGAGATGCTGTTAATGTTTTGCTTCATAGTTCCAAATAGGAGGCAGTGCAGAACAGCAGTTATACAATATTTATTGTAGAATTATTTATTATTAACATCTGATGAAATTGGCTGTGGTCCACAAAAACATATACAAAATGCATGTGTTGGTTTTCAAGGTGCCACAAGGTTCCTTGTTTTTCTGCACAGACTAAGATGGGTGCCTTCAATATCAAAACTATCAATAGCTACTAGGCCTGATGACCATGAGATACCTTTGCCATCAGTGGCAGTAGGCCCATGCACACCAGTTGCTGGGGAACGTGAGCAAGAAGGCTCTGTTGCACTCATGTCCTCCACATGCATTTGTCCTTGGCAGCTGGTTGGCATTGTGCAAAATGAATGCTGAAGCAGAAGGACGCTTGTTGTGATCCAGCATGCTCCTCTGATGTCCCTGTGATACTTGTGCATGATTTCCATCACTTCTCTGGGACAAGAAGATGGAAAAGAGAGGGCTGCATCTTGAATTCAAGGTGATACCAATAATGCCTGTGGGGACAAAAATCCTGAAATTCTGCACTGATGGCTGAGAGCATTTTTATGACTGAAGCTTGAATGACCTTAAGAGGCAGAGGAAAGGCCTTTTCCGTGAGAATGAGCATTCTGGACAATGTAGACTATACTTTCCTCATTACAAGGCAACTGAAGCAAGAGTTGCTTTATGTCTCTGTTGTGTTAGAGAAAGAAGTTCCCATGAATGCTTCTGCATTGGCTCAGAGATGCCATCTGGTGGATGTAAAGTTATCCTGCACTCACCTGAAAGTCCCCCGACATCCATCTTTTTCAAGTTCTTGGCTTCCAAGATACAGACAGTAAGTTTTCCAGCAGTGGGCACGTAACGTAATGAGATACAGATGTCTCCCAACTTCTCTGGCTGTTGACAAACACAGGGAAAAAATGAACAATGAGCTCAGGAATTATACACTGTGTCATAAATGTTCTGAATCTAAGACTGAGAATGTGCACAATGCCGTGAACCTGCCACAAGCTTTCCTTTCATGTAAGCACAGCCTTCCCCAACCTGCCATTGGGCTGATGAGTTGGTCCTCAACTCCTGCCATCTGCTCCAGTACAGCTGCTAACTGGATGATTGTTACTGTTGTTGTTAGGAAGTGTGTCCGACCCATCGCGATTGTAGTCTAACACAACTGGAAGAGTGCCCAGTTGGGGAATGTTGGTCTGGAGCGCCACCAAATCAGACACGTCCTGGTTTCTGCTGCTTTCTGGTAGTTTCTGATGTCACTTCCAGCTGCTCCTCAGGTTGGGAAAACAAGACACCCTGTGCCAGGTGTATTAGATAGAAACATCTCAACCCACCTTCAGCTCCTGACTATAGAATACTTGCTTTCCCATCCAGAAAGCAGCAAGTAGGTACGAAATCAAGTGGGAAGGACAAGAGAGACACAGGGGCATTCAATTGGCTGGTATGCTGGAGAGGGGCTTTAATTTAGACAAACAGATAGAAATTGCTGACAGTAAGTTCACAGTGCATTGAGATCTCTTTATACATTAAGTGCATCACAAGTTTCAGCAGGATGGAGAATTAGGTGTTCAGTAAGTCACTACACACTTATCAATGCTGATCCCAGGTCCTATCCTGCAAATAAGGCAGATGGAGATGGGGCTTTTAGACTAGACCAGTCAGCTTCCAATTTTCTGATGGTGACAGAGTCAAATTATCTCTCACTGAGACAGCTAAATGTCAAAAAGCCAGGCTACAGACTGGCTAGATGGAATATTTCTCTGTACTTCATAGAAGGCAACACTGCCCATCAAGGACTATTTCCCGCAACATTTTTATGTCCCCAGTGTGAGCTTTGCTCCCAAATGCTTCAGGACACTCACATGAAGTATCAGTATTCACATTCATACAGTTGAGGCCAAATAAACAGGACAGAAACAAATGGCAAAGGAAAAAATAAATGTACATTCTTTTCTAGCCTCTCCTTCTTACCTCTTCTTTTTCTGCACTTTCTAGATCCCGCCATTCTTCAATGGGCTGTCCCAAGTCCACAGTGTTCATGGGCACCTTGACTTCTCCAATGATGTCATGCTTGGAGAAGCGGTCGAAGTCATAGATGGCCATCACCAAGGTTTTCCCGCCTAGCTCCTGATAGGGGATCTGTTACAGAGTAGGATTATTGTACAATTGTCTGTGAAGCGCTAGCTAACAGGAAAAGACTATCCAAAAATTTGTCCAAACAGTCTTGCGAGATTTTATGTAAAGACAGTAAAGAAAGTCATTTTTAAGGAACAGACACTGTTATTTAACAAAAACAACAAAAAGAAAAATATTAAAACAGAACAACAAAAAAGATCAAGAAAGGCACAAAACAAAATGATTTACAGCAAGGTGACAAATCCAGTCTTTCTACATTTATATTCTGGCTTCACTTTCTTTTTCATCAAAAAAAGATGAGCAGTAATTGGTAGCAGAATTAAATGAATAAATAAATAAATCTAGAATTAGGTCTATTTATTCTTTGAACCATTTCTGTAAAGTTATCCAAATGTATAATGGCAAGTATTTTCCTAAACCCTTATGATAAAGTGCTGAGGTCATATCTTTAGCCCAAGCATTTTGATTTGTCTTGGGAGGCGAAACATAGGATTGATCTTGACAGACTGGTTTTGCTGCCATTTCTGAGGCTGGCAGCACTAGGCAGCTCGGCCATATTCCTGGGACCAAGCACCCTTGGGTGCAATGTTACATGACGCTGCAGTGCCCTCTTCAGGGGCGGCTGTGCAGGCAGAAATATGGCTCTCCCCATTGTGACTTTACCTCCTGCACCTTTTTTCTTTTTCCTTTTCTACTCTTGATTATTGTGCATTGTATTATTGGTCTTAATATGTTGTCCTAGACTGTGAGGTGCCTTTGGAATTTTTCTCATGGAGACAGAATACACATACTTAGAATAAAAAATCAACTATACTTTAAAATTGCGACAGTAAGCTCTGGATTAAATTACTACTCCAGTAGGATGAATGAGTGTCTTGAGAATTGGCTTAATGACAGGTTATTGAGGTCTACAATGCAAGACACAAACACAGTGAGGTCAGAATTCCAGACCGCTGGATATCTGGATTTTTTCAGCTGCTTATGTTTCACACTGGAAACAAACACGTAGTTGTTCATGGTTCTGGAAAAGGGGTGTGGAACCTGTGGCCCTCCATAGTTTTCCCAGCCTCCATTATCCCTGACCATTGGCCATAGTGGCGGCCACCCATGGTTATGCACCATGTACAATATCAGCCATGTTCTGGCAGAAGGAAATATAGTTACTGCTACATTATCTTGTGGAAGCATCACACACAGAACAGATGTTTTCAGAGACTTACTGTGGTACAACTAATGTCTATTTTCTAACTGCTAATTTGCTTATATGTAATTAGACACAGCTTTTCCAGGGTACATCATGCTGCCCTTATCAGTGCTGAATCTTGTTAGCCATTTAAAAACTTGCTCTTTACATATCATGAGATGTTCTAGTAGCTACTCTTCTTACCCCTGCGTGCTCTGACATTCCTGCTCATTACTGGCAGGTTTGCCCTATGAACCATAATTCTCAGAGGCTTCGTTACTTCTCTTGAACTCCTTTCCTGACCACCCATATTTGGTCTGGAACTTTCACATGCCAATTTTCTTCCTTTGGACTACACCTGAGTTTTGGGATGACACCTGCTATTTGTTGCAAGCAAAACTAGATCTGTGCAATGGATTAGCTGCATAGGACACTTAGACCAGGAGAAGCCTTACCTTGAAAACAAAAGTCTCATTATAGGTTGGATTGAGAGTCTTCTTTTGCACTTTGGTCTCAAATTTCTTCTTCTTGTCAGGAAGTAGGAAGACTTTGACATAGGGGTCTGAAGTGCCACCCATATCGAGTGCCGGGAGCTCAGCTGCTTGGAGGATCCCTACTGTGAGCTGTCATGGAAAGAAAGACAGCTTTCAGGAAGCAAAGAAGATTTGGAATACAACATGTCAGTAATTTGGGGAGGAAGGGTTCAGGCCAGGTCTCGCCTTTAACCTGCTGTCTACCTTCTGCTGAATTGGCTAAGCCCCGAAAAACTTGCATTAGACAAGCTCCCAGTTTCTGACCATATATCACACACACATAGGTACGCTGTTCTTTTAAAGAGAAGCTGTATCAAGCAAGGAGAATTTTGAGCAGGAATAAAAGGATCTTTAACTCCTTTCCCCACACAAGACATTTCTCTTCTAAATAATCACCCTGCTAACTGCTTCCCAGACATTTGTTGTTAGGGTAGAAAGTGGATTGGGAATGACTTGTAGTGGAGAAAATGGACAGGTAAAGGGCCAATCACTCATTTTAATTACTGCTCCTCTACTAAAAATTCCATCCCCCTATTAAGACACTCTTACATGTGTTTGTGCATGACATTGACAATCCAGTGCATTGCAATCCAAAACATGGCAGTCCATGATAAGTTGTCACTTTTTTTAGCATCATAGTGGCTTGTCACATCATTTTCAGAGTGAAAACACATTGTTTTCAGAGTGAACAGGTTAGCACATAATGAGAAGCTCTAATGAGAAGATATGGCATATATATGGCAACGCAGGTGCTTTGCAAGGAAAGAAAGGAGAGTGGGGACAATATTATCCTGGCAACATTATGCAAAGGCTACTGGGATATGTGCTGGCAGCAGGCTGGAGGATGAATGGAGAAGCAAACCATGGTAAACTGCTGAGTATCAAACTGTCAGTAACACTGTGGCTTAGTGAGCAATTAACCAACACACCATGGCTTGTTTTCAATATGGGGTATTGTGATGTGTGAACCAGCCTGAGCTGCTAAGAAACTAACTTGTTAGTTAGCTGCTAAGAAACTAACTTGAACTGGGGAACTTGAACCAAGGACTCAGGGAGCCTAACTCCCCATGCCTCTGAGGCAAGTTACAGGCAGCTGATCATTCCTGGGCTGCAGTGCCAACCTTAGAATAGCTAGAGAGGGAATGGAAGCTCATCTGCATGGTCAGTCCAGGTAGCCAGAGGAACTAGAGATGATGTTGCTCCAGGCTTAGTTCCCCAGTCTGAGCAGCTTGCCCTGTGAAACTTGACCACAAGCCTGTTTCTGACCACATCTTCTGCCTCAAGGCCTTTGGACTTCAGTCTGAGCCTGACAAAACATCTGAGGTCTGTCTTGAAGCTTGGCCAAGGGCATGGTGTAATCCCAGGATCCCTTTTATGAAAATCATTTTAGAGCAAGGTCAAACAAAAGATTGGATGGCCATTTCCAGATGTTAACTAGTTTCCTGGAACCAGCAGGAATGAGCCTCTGTCAAGACTCCCATGGTAGTAAAGATTAGGGTGACCTGTGATGTGTCCTTGCCCCACATATTCACTTGCACACATTACCTGGTTGGCCTGGAAATCATAGTCTAGGGAGAACTGCAGCTTGCCCAAGTTCTCTGGCTCCTTCTCTTCTTCCTCTTCTCCCCCCTCTTCATCACCATCTCCATCATCGTCATCATCCTGTTTGTCCTGAAAGAAAAGCAAGACCACAACATTTTTCAAGTGACTATAAAGTGAGAACCTACTTTCCCTTCACACTCATATCCTTTCTCCCATAGCCTTACCTTAGAATTGAAATACATATGCATACAGCTCAGGAAGCTTGACTTCAAGAGTGGCAAAATGTATTTCCAGGAGCCAGATGAAAAGGGGAAGGAAGCCCAACCTCACTGGCATTTACTCTCCCTAAGAACTCTAAAGACAATATGGCATTTGGCATGTTCCTCCTCTCATAAATGCAGTGCTAGTGCAGAGAAACAACCCCCTCTACCTACTGGATGGGAGATTTTGTAAAATATATAGGCAGAACACAGCACTACGATTAACAAAAGAAAAATCTTTTTAGCACAAAGGGTTAGTGTCTAAGCTTTGGGAATACAAAGACTGGACTTTTAAACTAAATGGGAACTGAGAACACGTAAGAATGCCTAGAGAGACAGGTGTAGCCAGGGAATGGTCTACTTGGGTATATTAATGAAAGATTCCAATCTCTGGCAAGAAGGGCTAAAGAAAGGAGAGTAGACACCCAGCAGGAGAAGCAGCCTGGAAGTTCAGTAACAGTATGGAGGTAGCAGTGCAGTTCACTGAAGGGCTTGGTGGCCAGAAACAGGGTCCTCAGCTAACTCCAGCATTTTCTTCCTTATCTTGCTTAAATCAAATAAGATAGGTACCCTCATCCATGCACCCATCCCTGCACTCAGGTGCACACTCGTGCTTCTTACCCAGGCTTTTAAATTTTGCTGCTATTGTATTTGTTAATAAAGTCTGAAAATATATTCTGAAAACTGGTTCCTCCCCCAGTGATGTTTGAAAAATACGCGCAAGCAGCTAGTAGCTAGTAATGCATTTTTTCATTTACCATACTTAGCCCATGTAAACTTGAAAGGGAACTTCATCCAATAGCAAACAGATCTGTCCTTAGTTTTGGATGCGATATTAGTTATCCAGCAAACATCTTGTTTACTTGGATTAGCATGAAACTGAATTTGGACTTGACCTCATTTCAAACTGGCTAGTTTTGGAGGAATTTACTTGACATTTAATCTCCCTTCAACCAGAATCCAGAGAAAATTGTGTTCACTTTTCTCAATTCAAGTCCAGTGTCAGGTTTAATACCATCCTCTAAATAAAATCTAAGTATGGAACCTCAGGGAGTATATCTGAGATAAACCCCCTTCCCTTGTCCCTTTTCCACTTAAAAGGGAGGTGGTGTTTACATCAGGACCTACCGTTAGTTGACATCCAGGTTAGTCAGAAAAGGTGGAGACAGAACAACACAGAAGGAGGATAAGGAAAGCACAGAGAAGGAAGAGAAGGGCATTATAGAGACAAAAACAGCACAAATCATCACCAATACCCAGTGCTCCTGAGAAACTGCAGATTCCACACCTTCTAAGGCCTTAATATACATTGGTCAGACTTATTCAGAAGGAAGCCAATTAACAGAAATGTATTTTAAATGCTCAGTGATTTGTTGCATCAAGACTAGGCATAAGTTTGTTGCCTCTATTTTCTGAAGAAGAAAAGCTCTGTGTGGGGGCCCAGCCCAGATCGTGCTACTGATACATTTCCCCCACAGGTGCTGTTTGCCCTAAATCAGCCCAGGCCTTGCATTGGAATTGTTTTGCTTTAGCTCCATGGAGAGAATGATAATAATGGGTATAACAATAATAATGATAATAATGCATATTGTTGAGTGAAATAGTGATCAGTTGTAACCACAAAGGCTTCAGTATCTTAAACAGGATGTTAATCTTCCAAGTAATCAGCTATAAGCTTGCAGTAGAATGATAGCAGAAGTGATGACCTTCCCCCACCCCTGCCCAAATCTCACTCTCATGGGCAGATTCATTCAATAGCCACAACTTCATGTGGTACAACATAGCATGAGCCTCCTTCAAGTAGAACCTTAGCCATGGGTTTAGGTATGACCATAATACTATGCATGCCTAGTACAGAATAATTTCTGTTGAAAACATTGCCAACACACATGGTCACCAATGCCCAAACAAGACATGGATTAAAATGCAGCATGTGCTGGACACAATTTGCCTAACGACCTACCTGGCTGCAGCTTGCCCCATCATCTGAACCTGGGAAGCATGGCTTTTCTGAAGAGGAAACAACCCTCAAGTAACCCAACAATGGACAGTGGTTATTTAAGAGTTGCTTTCAGCTAGGATCATATTATAAGTTGGTTCCCCACACAGCTTTTCCTTCAAAACAGAAGAGGCCAACTTATGGATGCTCTTTTTGAAAGTGCACTTATCACATATAAGTGCACTTGTCCATAAGATACTCATGTGTCTTGCTCCAATTTTCATTTTGCATAGAAGGGTGCAAAAACAGGCAGTTTGCCACACGCTCTATTTTAAACCAGCAAATTCATGTTAATAGTAAATTTTCTCAGAAAAAGCCTGAAGGAAGCAACTAGACCTGTGTTTCTCTGGATGCCAAAAAGCACAGAAATACATAGGGGAAAAGAGGGAGAGAAAGAGAAAACATGGCTTTCTATGCAATGCAGTAACTAGAAGATAGCATACTGGTGTCTGGTGCTGGAAAGGACCTTTTACAAAGAGGCAAAACAAAGCAAAACAAAAACAGAAAGAAAAACACCTCAACAACAAAATGAAGCATGAAGTGCAAAGCAAAAACAGGTAGCGACTTGTATTGCCTGACTGAGTGGGTGGGATCATTTGCTCCCAGAGGTCTACAGGGAGGGCAAAATGCTAATATTCCCCTTTCCTATTGGTGTTTTTCCTTTGGATGAAGCGGGCGATGCATGGCTGCTGATATCAATATAGACAAGGCTCTCTTCTCCACATACAATGACAGCAGAAAACTATAGTCCATTTGTATAAAGCTCAGCCTAGAAATGGGTTATCACAGCAGAAGATGAGAAGGGAAATCATATACTGTAGCCATTTCTTCTCTAGACCAAAACTAGACATTATTCAGGACTTCTTAAAAAGATATACCTGTGATATGCTTAAACTGCAAAAGAGAAGACTAAGGGGAGACATGAAGGCAGTCTTCAAATATCTGGAGAGCTATAATGCTGCTACTGCTCTTGGAACCAGGGCTAGAAACAATGGGTAGAAATGGCAAGAAAGCAGAGTTTGGCTAAACTCTTTGGCTATTACTGATATTCTGGTTTTAACTGTCTGAATTGTGCTTAACTGTGTTATTTATGTTGTTTTATGTTGTTGGCTTTCATCATATAAACTGTCCAGAGAGCTATGAAAGGGTATACAAAAATGTTGAATGAATGAATGAGTGCTGGGAGAAACATCCTAAAGGTGAGAATTGTTCAACAGCCGAGAGCTGTTGATGAGTGATGAGTTCTCCTTTGCTGGGGGTATTTCGGCAGAGACTGTTAATCTGTTGATGATGTTACAGGTACATCCTGCATTTCAGAACATGTATTGAGCACAACCTTAACTCTATAATTCTAAATATTTTCTGTAGATTGGGCACAGAAAGTGACATAAAGCTGAGCGTCAGGGGAAAGCCTTTCCTTTAAATAGATAGAGGTAGCCATGTCACCTCAATTTTCTCTGGTCTTTTTACACACAGCAGATTCTGAATGACTAGACAGCTCTCAGCTGTGCTTCCTTAAAGCCACTCATGCAAACAGCCTCATTACTGCATGCACAAAAAATACTTTTAGCAATATGGGCTATAAAAGTTCCGTTCCTCAGCCAGCTGCCCAAGTTGCTAAATTAAAAGGCCCAGATATAAAAAAGAATGCAAAGTTCATCAAACCATCCAGAGTGTGTCTGCCTTAATTGCTAATCAGATCTGCTGCTGAGGTAGTTTGATTGCTGCTATGAAGGGAAACAATAGAACCCTAAGCAGTAAAAAATATGCAGTCGGTGAGATGGTGGCATCAGGTAAGATGCTGAACCAGACATTTTTATGAATTACGATTTACAGATGGTCTTGAGAATGCTGCTTCCAGGGAGCATCTCTCATACAGATCCGCTAGTGCTTTCAGTGACCTGACATTTTCCACCATCAAAAGCTAAACAACTTTAAAGTTAATATGCATCATTGTTGGTAGGTTAAAGGAAATGGGTTGCTTCCTTCTGTGGATTCCTGGTGCTCCATAGGCTGGGAATAGGCCTCATGGTCAGGTTTACCAAAAGTACTGCAGTTTGCTGTAGCATTACTGCCTCTTACTGCAAAACTGTGCCAAAGTTTAAAACAGCTTTCAAATGCACCATGGAACAGAAATAGAACTTGCCTGTAACTTCTATTTAGATTTTCCTATACATGTTTTGATGTGGTTTTGTTATAGAAAAGCTAGAAGATATAACTGAGAATATCTAGTCATCCATACATGCATATGCACATTGTTTGTGTGGGCCAGAAGGACTGGATAGCTGGTCCTGAAAGCTTCTGGCTTTTTCAGTTTACTAGAAGTGCATAAGTCCTAACACAGTATTATAGTATGATATACCCTACCTCTCCTTCTTCATACAGGTGCCCTCTAAATGCTTTTGAACACCGCTCTTGCTGGCTGGAGCTGATAGAGGCTGAAGTTCAAATATCTGGAGGACATCTGGTTAATGAAGGATGACCTATCTAATTACTTAAGTTTGGTTCTAGAATTAATTGCATTGGTTGTAGTGGACCTAAGGAAGAATGCAGATGTTGGGCTGTCTCTGGAATTGGTTTCCACAAGAAGTAGGACCTTTTGCATCTTTTGGAACAACCCTCAGACCAATTTTCGGAGATCCCTGTCATGGCTGGTCTTTTCCTCTCTCTTTCCAAACAGATTGGGACTTTCTAACTGAAGTCTTTATTATTGTCTAAGCTGGCCAGGTAGACTGGCTTTGTGATAGGAAAGAAGATGTCAGTAACAAAAGAAAAAAGAAGAAATCGACTACTGGACATTCGGGAAATGCTTCAAGTTGGTTCTAACTGATTACACCTGCTCCCTCCCTATCGAAAAAGAGTTGACTGCCTTCCAATGGATTCTGCTGCTTATGGGTCCATTGCCTGAAACATCTGGCACTTCTCAATTGTTCTGTCCTCTTAACCTGTCACTGAATGACTGGGCCAATAATGTTAGGCCTGTCCCTGCCTACATCTCTAAACTTCCCCAGAGAATTTGAAATGGTCTGATTCTCAGTGACTGCCTGGCTTATCTCTGGGTCTACTGGCCTTGGCAAGTCAACAAAGAATTCCAGTCTCTGCTCCATTTCTGTATCAGAATCCAAGTCAAAAATTTCTGAAGGCTTTATTATAGGAGATGTGAGCCTAATCCCTACAGTCCCCTACCTCTGCATTGTGGCTTACCCCATTCAGCAGGATTTCCCAACTCTCTCTGCACCATTTTCAGGGGACTGGAGGATCTGCCATGTGAAGGAGTGGGTGGTGAAGTTCGCATCTCTCATGTCAGTTGCTCCACCTTAAATCTGGATCCAACTGAATATATTTGTAGGCTGTAAAGGTGACACGCTAAAGGCTTTGAGGTCCATGCTGTGCACATTATACCCCTCTTGTAAGTTTTTGCAGTGCTTTAAAAATTGAAAACACCAAAGACTCTGGCAGTCCTATAAATGAGTGTGGAACCACAGGTAAAACTGGCTGGGGAATGTTCATATTTTTTTCCTGGCACAGCATGCATAGAATTGCACCCTCAAAGACTATGGCCTATCTCAAACCAATGCTGTAGTCCTGAGCATACTTACCAAAGTAAGAGTCACTTCTAAATTAACAGGTTTAGGATCAGGCTGGCATGCATGCTGCCTTGGCCAATGCCAAGGACCACTTTTATAAGACAGATCATAGGGTAGATATTGCAGGCATTGAAGGACCAGGTTTAAAACTTACTCCTGGCCCTACCTGACTATGGTTCACATGTATTTCTGCATATAAATGTACTAAACTCTTTGCTCATGCATTCTGATTTATCCACATTTCAACCAGTATTAGACAGAAGGAAAAAATGCTCCTTGATTCATGCCAAGTGCAGCTTCACAGCTGCTCTTTCCCAAGGGGTGTTTTCACCTGGCCTTTCATGTCTTTCATGTTCATAGCATTTTTCATTCCTTTTTTGTCTTTCTTGTTCTTCTTCTTCTTGCAGCAGCATTTCTTGCAGATGCAGAAGCAGCAGGTGAGGATCAGCAGTCCAGCCACTACAGCAATTGCAATCAGGGCCCATGGAGGCACTGGGGGGAGAATGCACACAAAGCACACCCGTGGCACAGTCATCACCACAGACTGACGAGAGGAAGGAGTTCAGTGCGCACCGGCAGTGCAGGTGGGGGGGGGTGCAGATACAGGTAAACGACACACCTTCTAAGAGACCTATGTGGTTATTTCAAGCAGGGGTAGGCAACCTGGTATCCTCCAAATATTTTGGACAAGAACTCCCATAATCCCTTTCATTAGCTCTACTGGCTGGGGGTTATGGGTGTCACAGCCTGAAAAAACTGGAGGCATGTCTGTTCTTGCTTAATAGAATATTTCCACTCCAGCTTTTGCTCCAGGAGTGGAAATATTCCACACATGGCTTATCTTTTAAAAAATCAAAACAGTCCTAAAATGGACAATTTGAAAGGACAGTTTAGAAACACTGATGTCCAAAGACAAAACAGATTAAAAATTCCAGTTTTTCCACATGCTGAAAGGCAAGAAGCAAGGAAGTCAGGAGGATGCCTTGACCTAAAAGGCCTGTCTCTAGCACCAACCAAGTGCCCTCTGACTGCAGGCCCTCAGATATGGGCATGTCAGCAAGTCCATATGGCCATTCTCTCTCCTATACAAGGCATTTTCCTAGTATTGAACCTTCTTGTCCACTTTGAATTTTTGTAATGAATCTTGGTGTTTTAGGGGACATAAAGTCTAACAATCAATAGGTTTGCAACAATGGGAAAACCCCTTTCATTTCTTATAAATCATCACCAATATATCAAAACCCATTTTCAAGGCAAACAGCCTCTCCCTTCATCTCTTTCATGACAATTCATTAATAGTTCAGGCAATTACAGTCATATTTTAAATAACATGCCCCAAAAGTTTGCCCAATGGCAAAATAGTGTCCCTATTTTGTGGGTCTTTTGTGGGTCTTTTGAACTGAGGAAGAGCCACACTGGATAAGGCCAAAGATCCACCCATTCAGGATTTTGTTCCAACAGTTGCCTGCCAGCTGCCCATGAGAAACCCATGCATAGGATATTAGTGTGATAGCAGCCTCCCACTTGTGTTCCCCAGCAAGTAAGTAATAGCCCACAAGTAATTAATAGAGTTATTACTAGTGGTACTGTGTGGGGAGGAAGAGTGAAGGAAGCACACACAGACTTGATTCTAGGCCAACCTTTTGCAATCTATAGATATGAACAGGTTCAGAAACCGTAGGGAGAGAACAAGCAGACCAGAGTATCACATCATTTCCAGATGTTTCCCAGAAAAGATAGCAGATGTGAGCTACTTACAGGGAATCTTATTTATTTCATTCATAAACTTGTCTTTAATATCAACAAATATATCCGCCTTGCTCTCCACTGGGCCAGCCTTTGTCCCATTTTGCACTGATACTGCTGGGGCCACCGTTGTGGTAGGGGGTAGTGGATTAGTGGTCGTAGGAACTATTATAGCTTCTGACTTGGGGTGCGGCTTGAAGAAGCTGAATGTCATCTTGGCGGCTTTTCAGGTTCTCTGAAAAACATAGGAACATCGGTATAATGACCCAGCCCCTCCCTAAACCATTCCACTTAATACTGAAAACATGTGCTTTTCTGGTATATTCTCAAAAACATATTATAATGTCACTATTAGCTATACTGCCATTTCAAACCACTCCACAAATATTCTGCTTCTTCCCTGAAGCAAACAATTTCTAACGATGCTATGTCTCTGTATTTCTATCTTTGATCCATCATGGATAAGCTGATCAAGTCCCAAACTCCCTGTGATGGTGGCAGATCTGTGTTTTTTAAATGTGGGGTTTGGCCCAGTAAAGTATAAACCAGGAAGCTGGTGTCCAGGATTAAGAGCATAGTTAGTGTACACCAATGCCTAATCATCCAGTACTCTGCCCTGCAATGTCACTATCCTTCAGGTGGGCTCTGATACAGGAAGTGAGACCCACTGAGATAAAAAAAAGAATATCAAGGAGGTGAGTCAGGGACATAGCGGTAGACAAACAAGGGCTCGGTGTAGCCTCCCATTCTTCTAGTCACCAGGGCTAGTGGTTTCAGTGCCAGTGGGGTGGGGTGTCCACTTACAAGATCTCTCCACATAGCTGACCCTGTTCGGAAGAAAGAGTTTAGCACCACGGATAGCTCCACAAGTTCCGATGGAGGCCCAGAGTGGATGGACTGCTCTACTGCCATCAGAGCCACCATTTAATCGAAGCCACTTCAGCGCTGCTGTATGCATTCTTAAAGGCAGATCTGCCCCAAAGACACAGGCACGACACTCCCAGGTTGGGTCCAAATGTGCTAATTATATATATCTGCTTTTCATGAATGAGAAACAATCTTGCTTGAGATGTAAAATTTTGAAAAACCCAAATGATGAGTTATAAAATCCCCGTGTAGAAATACTGAGACATGGTTTCAGACAACAAAGCTTCAAGCAATAGAAAGAGCATGGACTGACCAACTGATAACATCACTTTTCTGCGCTATTTAAGTTGTGTCTTCCTTTTTGTTACTGGGAAATAAAAAAGCCAGATAGTAAATTGTCACACATACTAAAGTTCTTAGCTCCCTCTTCTGTGCCAGTTCTCAAGTACAGAACATGCTACATGCTCTTCAGCCTCTTGTATTTATCCCACAATTTCATTTATTATCTCTAGAAGAAAGCACCACTTTGTGGATACTCTTTAGCTTTACAATACAATTAATATTCCCTGCAAGGATGTTTAACTTTCAGGGTCTATGATGCTCCAATGAATGATTAGCTTAGTAATGGAAAATGAAATATGCAGAACTATAAACAGGCTGTCAATTTCTCCCAAACAGAATCTGTTAAAACAATATTTTTATGCAGTGAAGCCACAGCAATCTGCATTATTTTTGGCACAGTGGAAAACACTGAGAATATCTCAGCATTTCCCCAGCACATTCAAGATCCCAGTTTACCACCTTCTGAAGAACTGTTGAGAAGTAGGCCAAGTGCGAAGACACTGAATCTTTCTCCCCACACATCAGTTTCATCAGAGCACACACAGAATCAGTTACCATGTGTTAGGTTTGCCACCTAGAAAATGTAAAATATGGGTGATGCAAACTGACTTACTGCAGAAGAACAGAAGAAAGATGCCAGAAGAGAGCAGAATAAAAATGAGGCAGCCCTAACAACAGGTTGCCAAAAAGAAAAGAAGAGGCAAAGCTTCAAAATGAAGTCTACCAATGGAAGACTGTAACAAGAAGCAATGTATGAACTTTGGTAAATTTCTGTTGAAGTAGGGTATAGATGCATTAGAATAAATTTTAAAAAAGCAGATGATACACAATGTCCAATACTTTTCAGCATATACCATCTTCAAGGAAAAAAACAATTCCAATTATTGTGATAGTTCATTGAATCCATGCTTTCTTAGGAGACAAAATGTCCCTTGCACTAGAAACAATCTGGTAAGAAAGGATACACATGACAGGGTACACCAGTTGAACTCCCATATTACGAGTGTGACCTTTACTCCCTACCGCCAACTTGTCCCCTGCAGGAAGAGCATGGTGGTAGCCCTGGGATTGGACTGTGCAAGACAGCACACTCTGCTGCCAGAGAATGGTTGGGAAATTAATGTTGGGTAGCCTGCAGTAATCTTGGCAAGCATGGAAGGAGAGAGTGCAAGAGATCTGAAGAAAGGATACATGCCAAACTAGGCATGCCATCTGTTCTATTTTCTCTCCTACCTGTAGGCTTCCATATAAAGGTGCAGGGGGCAGCGTTCTTGTTTTGAACATTGAGAACCTCGTCTCAAATTCTCCACTCGGTTGTGAATTTCTGTGGGTAACAACTGGCAAAATCACAATCTTTCAGGCTAATAATTTTCTATGAAATCAAGATACCCACTTGCATACCATGGAATAGTGCAGCAAGTGGCAAGAAGAGAAAATTCATCAATCACAAAAGCAAGAGGGCTTTCAGAAACATTCAGTTTTCCTTTGGCTTCATGCTGTTCAAGTCTTTTTGCATACCTCACCTAAGCTAAGCATATATCAGTGCTCCTTCCAATAAAAGACAAACAATGTTATTCAAAGATTTCAAAGAAGAGAGTTTATTTATTTATTAAAAGCTATTCTATCCTGTCCCCTACAGAATGTCTTGGGACGACTTACAATAGTTGATTGTCTTTATATTAGAACTAGCTATATGGATGTAATAAGATATAAAATTAAGATTTCTCTTATCAGCTATGATTCGGACAACTGAAACTGGATCCAGGATTCTGAACACATACAGGCACAAAAGTTCTCAATTAAGCAGGTAAGCTTCCAAAACAAAACAAAACAAAAAAGCAAAAACAAAAAAAAGCACACAGAACTATTCAGAGAAGTGTGAGAGTCTGATACCTGCACCAAGAATTCTTGAACGCCAAAGAGAAAAGTGCTACAAGCATTTCTAGTCATATGTTCTAGTCATTCTAGAAATAAAATGCTGCCTCACAGTTGGAGGCTGAGGCCAAACATATCCATTCTGAGAACCAGTGAGAGCCATAATACTTTCATTACTAATAAATGTGAATGCAACATATAAGAGATGGAGGCTTGGAACTGAGCAAATTGGAACTGGGACAAGATTCTTCAGGCATCTATTTTATCTATGACTTTTATATTCTACCTTTCTTCCATTATGGAACTCAAGGTGGCTACATGTGGTTTCCAGGTGGTCGCCCCTCCAAACATTGGCCAAACAGGACTCCATACATGCATGGAATTCTCTCTCTCTCAATCTCTCTCTCTCTGTCTCTCTCTCCAGGGCAATGCAATCTGTGGTTAATGCTGGAAAAGAATCTACACCATGGATTTATGCTACTGCCAACGTCCCTTTCGGTCTTATTTTGAATAGTCGGCAGCATTGAGTTTGCCCTTTTCACTGTCACTGTGCACAGATAGCTTCCTCTGAGTTATCCATGTATTACTGCAAAACCTCTTTCCTTGTTAGTCACAGCCAGTTCAGGCTGTGGCTCTCCATAGGTGACCTTGGGATTTATTTTTGTTCAGCATGCAGTATTTAACACTCTTCATCAAGGTGCTTTCCCCTACATGATCACTTCGGCTTTGGAAGGAGTCGTATTTAAAGAAAAACTGCACCAAAACCCAATTAGGCAGACCTGCAAAAAGCTTGTTCTGGAGCTTCACCACCCTGCTAGGTCCCAGGAAGGGCAGATCAAATGTGTGCTGGAGGGGACACTGTTCCCCAAAGGTCCAAACTCTTTCACCCTTCCCTTTCTTGTTCCGAGTATTTTGGGCTCATACTTAATTGTATATAAGATATAGTTGCACATTGGGACTTGTGTACAGCAGCCTTTCCTAACCTGGTGCCTACGAACTACAATTCAAGGAGCAGGGATGGTGGGAGCTCCCAGGGAAGAAAGGCAAGTAGAAAAGATGGCAAAGACATCAGCAAATGGCCAGTGCATGTCTTCTTTCAGTCAGTTGATCTTTCCCCAAAAATTTGTGCTAATGTGTCAAAGGAAACATAATTGGTAGAAAACATTCTCCCAATATTGGAAGATCAGACAAATTAGACTACTCCAATTTTAAGTGTGAGGAGGGTAGGTAAGGGGAAGTGGATCTGAGATATGGCAACCTTATATAGGAATCCTTGTCAAGTGTACATGAAGGGACCTCTCTTGTGTTCCTCCTTCCCCATCCATGGCACTGTAACTGACAGAATACAGGCCCCACTTCATGTGCGCGTGCACACACACACACACACACCTCAGCCAGAATCAATATCCATGCCTTGTTCTGTTACTGAACTGAAAGAACACTGCAGGCTTTGCTGGAATCACTTGAGGAGTGAAATCCATGCTAGTCTGTCTCCAGCTGCTGCCAATAAAAATGTTGGCAATGCAGAAGCCTAGCTATTCAGTTCTAGAAATATTACTGCACTCTCTGTGCAGACCGGCCCATGGCTCTCTCATTCTAGACCCTATTTCTGTGCTACATTATTTTCTTCACCTTCTCTACTTCCATGTGCCATTCCCTTCACTGGCAATGCTGTGGCTGCAATTCTTCAGGCTACTTTCTTTAGCTGCCCCCCCCCCCCCCGCTCCCCGAGCCAATGGAACAAATTAGAATATAAGGCTGGACAATCGGAGCTTCTCTATCTAATTCTGACTAGTTTGTGAGGAGGATTTAAGCAGTGTGCTCTCTTGTATTTTTAGCCAGAAAAATGTCCTCTCAGGACTTATTCTCCAGTAAGCAGATTTAGTACTATGGCCAAAAAGAGAGAGCATATTTTAATTGCACATATTCATTTAAGATATATAAATGGCATATTACCCAGGAATGTATCAGTGATCACACAAACTACAAGCCTGGTTAAAATTGGCCACTTTACTGCTCTAACTCACCTCCTGGGACCCTGATTTTAGGATGCTATGTGAATAGCTTGCCACTTTTCCAAACAGCTTCATTGTCACTAACATGAAGTAGATGCATTTCAAAGTGCATTTC